ATGAGGTCTTGCCAAGTTGCCCGGGCAGGTCTCGAACCCGCGGGCTCAGGCAATTCACTCGCCTCAGCCTCCCAAAGTGCTGGGATTATAGGCTGAGCCATCGAGCCTGGCCTGATGTGTTCTTGTGATGTGTTCTCCATGGTTTTCTGTGGCAGCACTTTGAGACGGCTCTTTTTGCTAAAAAGCTGCACTAGCAGCTCATCACGATTTCTTGTGCTGCCAGAAAATGCTGCCGAGCCTTCAGTTGGCTGAGGCTGTTGACCTGGACACAGTCAAGGGGGAGGAAGCCCCATGCTGTCTGTCCTGGCCAAGAGCAGGACCTACGGGATACTCTCAGCAACCGCAGGTGCCAAGCAGTGAGTGGTAGCCCCTTCTGTGGCAAGCCTCTGTGGAGGGCCACATTCCACCCTCAGGGTTCATTAAACTTTGTGGAAGCTGGGCAATGTTCTGGATTCCTTCTGGTGTTTTGTAATCCTGTGATGAAATTTAGATACTGAGACTTCAAGTAGAGTCCAGTAGGGAACCTTTCTGCCTTGAGAAAATTGAAACGGTCAGGGCAGGGAAGAGAGGGGAGCCCTGAGACATGCTATGGTGAGGTCTCTGTCAATTCTGTTTCATGCCGCTTTCTACAAGATGCTCTTCAGGAACCCAAAGGAATCTCCTTTCCTACAGACCTCGGTTACAGTCTGGTAGGGAAAGAACCAACTCATTCTGTTTCTGGAAGACTTAGGTTCAAGTCCAGCCACTGGCACGTTGTGTCCCAGTTTCCTGAACTGTCACACTCAGTCCTGCTTCCCTGGAAGGGATCTCATTAGTGGTGAGAAGCCCCAAGCCAGAAGTCAGGACAACAAATTCTAGCCTTGGCTCTAACAGAAACCCACTGTTAAGCAAGTTCCTTAAGTTCTCTCTTACTCGGTTTCTCAAAATGTAAGAGGATTGAGCATGTCTGTTCCACTGGCTTCTGCGAGATACAGACCATAGGAGATGTGAGGTGTTTGGATAAACACCGTGGCCCCAACTATCAGGTGCAAACTCAGGTGTGCAGGAAAGCGGGCTGGGAGTCTTCCGAGGCGCAAACAACCAAAACTTGTTTACTTTAGACGTAGAGAGAATATGCTTTTTTGAATGAAACCGGCTAGCCGGGATGATTTCCGGGCGGCCTTCCCGGGTAATCGGGCAGCAGGCTGAGGGAGGATTTCCAAAATGAGGACAAGCTGCAAGACCAGCCCGGCGTCCTCCCGGGCTCCCTGGTGTCCTCCTCGGCTCCCGAGCGCCACCTGGGGCCTCGTCCACGCTACTGCCCAGAAACCACGTGTAAGAAAGTGCTTACAACCTAACCACGCACTTGGGTTTCAACCCCCCCTAACCAATAGGGAAGGGGGAGGCGGGGCAGGTGAAAGCAAGAGGCCAGTCAGCTCCCGCTCTAGGAGGGCAGGGCGGGGCTCGGGTGTCACCGCGTTGGGTTTGTCCGCAGCGCGGATTACTTTTCCCGAAGGCTGGCGGGCTTCACTCCGGTCGGCGCCGCCGCTCGCGCGCTCCTGCTCTGCCGCCACGGTCCGGGGGCTGCCGGTCCCGGGACCATGTGTGACGGCGCCCTGCTGCCCCCTCTCGTCCTGCCCTTGCTGCTGCTGCTGCTTTGGGGACTGGACCCGGGCGCAGGTAGCCGCCCTCTCCCGCCGGCCCCGGGTCTGGCGGCCACCTTCCGCGGCGCTCCGGAGGCTTGCAGG